TTTCGATTGTAACTTCCTAACTTGTCATATCTTTTGCACTTTATTTGCTTCAGTTTCTCCCCCCTTCATGGAATCTTATTCTTCTTCGGCCTGCAAGGTGGTCTTTTCACAATTAGTGAGTATATGGTGAAGTCCGTGGGATCGAAGAGCGGCTTCTCAACCAATGGTATAGGAATATGGCACCCGAATAGGTTGCACGATACGTCTTTACATGAAGTAACGTTCAACACAATTATTGAGGTTATACTGACTCTTTTGAATGACAATAACAACATGATCAGGCCGTTAATCTGCCATTAAAAGTAAGAACATGCCTCGCAATATCAACTGTGATGGATGGTATTAAATGAACCTCGAATACATCCTCATTGGATTTGCTAATCTGCCAAGACCTATTGTCATTGAACAAATCAAGAAGCGTGGTTTCAAATATAGGACAAATAATATCATTCCACTTGTTTGCTTGGTCTCGTCGCACTGACATTTGTCACATCAACTGAGTACAAATAGTATCCACCGTCCAAATGATAGAAAGATTACGTACTTCTTTGATCCAATTATTAAATGACTCCGCTGTATTCGATGTCATCTCCACATAACGCATGACCCTACACAATATGACAACACTACACAACAACTAAAAATAAATTTTTTCAATAAAATATGAAATTTCACATCAGGTGTCTAAAAGTACCTGAAACATGAATTTGCCCAGTGCTCAGGTATCAACTCCTTGAAAAAATTATGTGCTCGTTGCTTACCCTCTTCTCTTAATTTCTCAAGCTTTTCATGAAAACCTACCACGGTTGGCTCATACATACAATCACTCAAACTACTAACCAAGTGGTCTCTAAATCCATTATCAATTCCATTTCATCCTGTTCCTTAAATTGTTCTTCAAGTATTGTAAGTAATAACCATGGTGAGCTGATGGGAACACCTTCAGCATCGCTTCTAACTATCCAAGATTACAGTAAAATGTGAACGTGATTTGTCGCCTACTGTCAACAACCTTCCCAAGCTCATGTAAGAACCACGACCAATTGGTTGTGATCTATGAATCAACAGTCGCAATTGCTACAAGAAATAAACCTACAACAAATACAACACAAGAACATCATACAAATGATCATTATATACCAATGTGAATATTAACACCAATTTGTTAAAAAAATCATACAGCCAACAGTAGTTGTCAATATTCACACTGTCAAATGCCAATACATACATAACACTCACATCGATGTGAACATCCACATCCAGACGCATACAAAACCTAAAAAATATTAACTATTGTTCCCATCTTTCGCCATTGCGGCTAGTAATTGACCTTTATACCTTCCTTTATGAAACATCTCATCAAGGAATAACAACGGCCATCAGAAATTGAACCCCGAAATACAGGCAGCAAATGATACAAAAAATCGACTAAATTTTCAAGTGCTCGAGTCGTAGTCAATATTAACATAACTTTTCAAATTGTAATGCATTACAGCATCCGAATACAATCACAACTCGTCAAAAGACAATGAGTGATCCTCGTGAAGGACCCCCCCTTGTTTTCTTCATGCCCAACCACATAACATGGTAACTTACATCTAGTCCATAGCTCTGCTTCAAAATACCAGCCACCTCACATAAGCGAGTTAACGGCTTGTCCCTAACAATTTCAAAGATAATAGTCGATACCAAATCAAAACTAACTCTCGGATTCTTCAACGTCTGGACATCCTTACCACAACTATGAATGTTACTCAACCTCTTAATATAGAAAAATCCATTGGTTCGTTGTGCTCTACAATGTATAGCCCACAAGCAACCCCTATCTTCACGCATCACACATACCACAGTAACTCTCGCTCTTTCATTCTTGACATACTTAAATTGGAACCCACATTGGATTGCATACTTACATAAAACATCATGAAATTCTTTAGCACCTCATACAAATCGCTGTCCCACATGTGTAATACCATCAGCCCAAGGGGCTGACAACAATTTCTTCTCCTTATGGTAGCAAAATCTCCGGAGCGCATCCATTTCCTCCCCACCACCCCACACGCAACGACCTAGGGCTACTAAAATAACCAACTTCATTTTTTAATTCAACAACAACCTCTACATGTTAAACCTCCATTGATTTGGCAAGCAAGAACATACTTTACAACTCAACATCATTGTCCAAATTACACCTATTAATCCCAGATAGCCAATAGAACAATGAAACACAATCAACAGATAAATCGGTTCATTTTTCACACACACACTCCACAAAATGTGAATAAGACAATGCTTGCACCAAATTTATTACAGTAATACTCCACCCATATTAGCACACCAACAACAAGAAGTTATACATCTGCTGCAAAAATACAAAAATAAGGAAGTGAACAACCACATTATAAACACACAATACCACATAAACATGAAACAACCAATGATATGTGAACATTCACATCCTGCAAAAAAAAAAAAAAAAATAGCTATGTTCATATTTTGCACTGTTAGTCCCAAACCGAACAATTTATTGCCATAACTACACATCATTATAGATTAGACAAGTCCAAATTCACACCACCAAATATAATGGCAATAAACAATATGCAAACATCTCCCCATAATGATATAACCAATAATATGTAAACGTTCACATTGTCCACACAATGTGTACATTCACATTGTTCACGCAATGTGAACATTCACCACATCCAAAAAATAAAGCCATATCTGAACGCATTACCAAACAAAACCCATAACCTCATTCAACCAAACAAAACTTGCATCTCCATCTATTCCAAAAAATAAAGTTGAAAGCAAAAAACAGACTATACAATCCTTTATATAAATCAAAACACAAATGAACATGAATCCTTTATATACTAACTTTGAGATGAATACTCGTTCTCTTCTCTAATCAATATCTAACTTCCTTCGCAACAATTATGTAAAAAAACAGAGCACAAATTAACAACACTAATGCAGTCTTGACTCTTCATCCTCCTCAAACACCAGCAAAACCCTAGCACAACACACAACGAAGCAATGCACAACAGCATCGAAGCAACGCACAATGACATCGAAACTAAAATCATAATCAACTTCATGAAATCATGGAAACTGCCAAAACAGATTGGTAGTCAAAAAGAAAACATGTATATCCTTTTTGTGTGTAATATAAATCAACAATAAATATAAGGGTATAAGAGTCTAACAAATAATGTAAATCAGGAAAAAAAAAAGGAGCAAGGATCCTCTAGAGTTTTTTTTTCCTAAAGTTTCCTAGAGTGGTGCATTGTGTGGCTGAGATTTAATGACAAGTCACATCAATTTTTCAGCATTAAATCTCAATCACACAATACACCACTTTAGGATACTTCAGGAAAAAAGCACTCTAGAGGATCCTTGGTGAAAAAGAAGGACTTTATGAAATAAAAGTATAAACACATGGAATTAAGTAGGTTATAAATTTCTTTGATGGACTTGTTGGATTAGAACACCCCTAAATAGAATTTATCAATAAAACCCTCCAAATTTTTAATTTAAAAATAAAAAATATACTATTTGTTTTCACTTTCGATGACAGAGAACATGCCCACCAAAAATGAAAAGTTAAAATGCCAAGAAAAATACTAACGATTGCCAAGTTGTTGTTTGGGAATAGATTTTTTTAATTAACTTTTTGATTTTTTTGTTATTTTAGTATGGGACTAAAAGTTTGTTTGAGTTAGCATTTTTTACTTTAAAAAAAAAAGAAAGTGAAGTGATTATGGTTTAAATGTAACATTTTTCTAAGTGATTATCAACCTTAATATAATTTGTTCTCCAAAAAAAAAAAAAAAAAAAACTTAATATAATGTAAAAAGTATGTTAAAATATATTTGAAATATAAAAAATATATATTAAAATGTTAATTGTTTTGATATTTTTGCAAAACACCTAAAATGATGTTAATTAAAAGGAAAATTTTAATATTTTTGTGTAAATATTGATCATGTCAACAAATTCCTGCCACTAAACTAACAATAGATTAACTACATGCAATTACGTGTGACACAATCAATTAAATTTTTTACGAAGGCCAGTGACATTTTCTCAAACTAGTGAGGATAATTGTAGTTTTGATAACATCCGGGAAGGTCAGTATAATTTGCTTAATTTATAATTATTTTGACATTTGCTCCACTTTAATGAGTGCCGATAGAATTGATATTAGCACGATCCAACACAGAATGAGTAGGTAGTACAAATTATAAATTCCAGTGCCCTTGAAACTCAGTTAATTTATAAGTCAACCCTTTTTTGGTACCTTTTTAAATGCAATGTAGGCTGAGGGTTTTCGTTTTGGCCACAGCTTCTCTACCGTCTGATTATAGATTGAACAGTTTTGTTAGACCATCTTGATAATCCAAATCATTTAATGTGTAAAACTTACTAAGTACATTATCTTTATAAAAAATGACATTAATCTAATACCGATGTTTATTTGATCAAATTGTATTTGTTTCAACAATAATTATAATTTTTTCTCAAAAAAATAAAACAATAATTATAATTTTAAAAATAAATCACAGATACAAATATAAACTGATCAAGTGACTATTGATATACCATTAACGTAATTTTTTACAAAAATGATATACCTGACGAGCTCTACACATTGAACGGTTTGAATTATCAAGATGGACTCGAAGTTGAACCCACTGCGGCCCAACAGCACCATCTAATCCGTTTCCAAACTGGAGAAGCGCTGAACCTTTTTTTAAAAAAATTATTATTGGTATAGGCATATCAACAGCTTTGAGGGGGGAGGACCGGACTCAGAGATGTGTAACGGTTCTGACCAATTAGATTAGTGCCGATTGGCTAAGACCAGCATTGCATTTGGTTGGAACATGAAACAAACTCCAATCAATCTCTCAATCAAAAGCCCAAAAGAACATTCCTTCTCTCCCATCCATGTATCAAGTTTCTAAAAATTGGAAAATAGAAACACAGCAAAATTTGAGAGCATTTAAAGAATGTATTGCTGAACACAAAAATACTAATGCATGTACATCTTTCAAACATATAAAGAATGCAAAAATATTAATGCATGTACATCTTACAAACATATAACGAGAAAGTGGGTGGGTAGGGAGAAGTTATCTAGTAGGTCCGTCCGTCCTACTATGTGACCACGTGCTCACCCAATAATAGGAATAATTTTGTGGGGTGGGGATACAATGAATATGACTCGCTGAAGCCATCAATTCCTTTATTTCTAATTTAGTTTTAAAAAGTCAAAATTGGATTGCTGTGTATTTACATCAAAATGCAGTTACAAGACCTATACCCAGCTCCTCTGCAAGCTCATCCCACACAGGAAGGAGGGTCAACACAACCAGGAAAATAGCCACTGTAAGAACTGTTCTCCTCCATGTTCCAACCTCTGTCACATCATTCAAGCATGGTTTCTCTGGTGCCCTCTGTACATGTAGTATTTGCATAAAATTAGGCATGTGAACCATCATTTTGTGTCGTTTTTTCATAAAATGTATAAATAACAAAATAGTGATTCAAATTCAATCTAGCTATTTTATTCACACATAGCTTATTGATTGCATACCTGACAGATCAACACATACAGACCCCAAGGAAGTGACAAAGGTCCACCGAGCTGGAAGGAGAAAACAACAAATCATTAAAATAAACTTTAATTCAAACAAAATATTATCAGAGGATGCCACTTTAATGGCGGTTTACGATTTGGACACATCATCATCTACAAGTGGTTAAATAAACAAACCATAAAAGTAAGGGGGTGTCAGAATCAGTGGCAGCTCCAGGAATTTTAATCAGGGTATATATTAAGTAACTTAAAATCTAACAACTGTATTAAAAAAACAAATATAAAAGAGAACTCTAATATATTAATATTAAAGTTTTGACAAAAAAAAAACTTGCAATTAGATAAAATATTACAATTACCATCAAAACAACTTGCAATTAGATAAAATATTACAATTGCCCTCGACGAGATTTCATATTTTGAAAACGTTACATAATCTCCTCATTATCAATGCTATCAAATACATCTCTTTCAATGTATGTAACCAAACAATCATTCATCCACTGATCTCCCATTCGGTTACGCAAATTACTCTTTATATACTTCATTGCTGAAAAACTTCTTTCCACTGTTGCTGTCGCGACAGGTAGAGTCAATGCTAATTTCACAAGCAAATAGACTAATGGATATATCACATGTTTATCTGTCTCCACCAACTTTATAGCAAGATCACCAACTCCTTTAAGTTCTAAAAAGTTTTCACTTAAGCGCATATCAACAATGTAGTTTTGAAGTTGGATGTCAAGGACCATTAAATCTGTTGCAGAAAAATCATATGGATAGAACTCTGCAAAACGAATCAACTTATGCTTATCAAAAGCAAAGAATGATTTACTAGGATTCAAGCAAGCCATACAAAGAAGTAACTCAGTATTTGCTTCTGAAAAGCGATTGTTAAGCTCTTGAAGTTGCATATCTAAGACTGTGTAAAATAGCTCAACTTGATAATGATGTAAATTTGCAATTTGTAGAGCTTTGCGTAGTGGCTGCCCACTAACTACAAATATTTCATCCATATTTGGAATAGAAATCTCATGTTTGTTACAAAATGAAGACACTTCAGTCAATAAAGATTCCCATTCATCATCTCTCATCATCTGCAATCGTTGCTTAGATACTTTAACAAGTGTCATAGCATTGACAATATCTTGATTTTTCTTTTGCAATGCTAACGACAACTCATTTGTAATCCCTAAAATATTTTTCATCAAGTGTAAAGTGAAGGCAAATTCAAAAGATAGCATTAACTTCATGATAGAACGAGCTTCAACTCTTTGCTCGGGTTGTAAGCCATCCTCTTCAATAATCTCAAGTACATCAATCGAAGAAGAGAACATCAAAATCAAGTTGATAATTGTCCCAAATGTGATCCCCAATGTGTATCACCAGCACGTTTAAGACTAGTCTCTTGATTCAAACCTCGCCCACTTCTAAGTTCACCATTGTCTAGTGCTTCTGTTATTTTAGCAAATTGCGCATCTCTAAGAGCATCTCGTCTCTTGCAAGAGCCACCAACAACATTCACTATGTTAGCAACAGAGCAAAAAAGTTCAACAACGTCAATGTGCTTTTTAGCAACAGCTACAAGAGTCAATTGAAGTTGATGGGCAAAGCAATGAACATAAAATGCAGATTTATTCTCCCTCAAAATTAAAGCTTTAAGACCATTGAATTCACCTTGCATATTGCTGGCTCCATCATAGCCTTGCCCTCATAGTTTTGATATACTCAATCCATGTCGACAAAATAAGGATTCAATTGCTGCTTTAAGCGATACAGCGGTTGTATTTGATACATGTACAATACCAAGAAACCGCTCTATAACAATGCCCTTTTTGTCCACATAACGTAGAACAACCGCCATTTGTTCTTTAACTGATATGTCACGAGACTCATCAACTAAAATTGAAAAAAACCCATTGCCCAAATCCTTTATGATAGCATTGATAGTCTCACATGCAGCAGCATTCACAATGTCTTTCTGAATATCATGGTGAGTTAGCTTATTATTTTTCGGAGTATTCCCCAATACAACTTTATTGATAGATTCATTATGATCCGCCAAAAATTGTAGAAGTTCAAGGAAATTTCCTTTATCACTTGAATCATCAGATTCATCATGACCACGAAAAGCCAACCCTCGACGCAAAAGGAATCGTATGCAATCAACAGTTGCATTTAAGCGAGTCCGATATTCAATTTTTTCTTGATTTGACTACTTTGAATGTGTTGCTTTTGCTTCATAAGATCTTCACACTTCTTCACAACTTGGTTGTGAGCACTATTGGTGCTGTTTGGTGTAACTGTTAAAACAGATTATAGATTATAGCTTAACAGATTATAGATTATGACTTTAATCAGAAACTGTTAATCTGTTTGGTATAACTGTTGGATTATAGATTTAAGTTGCTGAGTAGTGTTTGTTAAATAAACTGTTAAGTAACTTTTTCAATTAATTTTTATTTTTTATTATTCACTATTTGTCTACATTTTTCATAAAAAATAATAATAATATTTAACAGTCCATTTGGGTCTTTTTCTATTTTTAAAAAAATAAAAAATAAAAAAATTTAAGAATATAACCGTGAATTAGCATGTCCACAGCAGAAGCTGATAATCAGAAGCAAGGGGTGAGCAGCTTCTCAGAATCAGCTTTTTTTGACTTAAAATAAGTTGTTAGAATCAGAAGGTGTTTGAAATAAGTTTAACCAAACAGTCCAAAATAACTTTTTAAAAGCCAGAAGTCATAAGTTGGCTTAAAAAAGCTCCACCAAACACCCCCATTAACACCTCCAACATGAATTTGTAACTTGTTTTTCATATTCCAAATTTTAAATCCCTCTGTCACAAAAGTATCACATCCCTTTCCTAAATCGGGCCTAAACAAGTAACAACATAAACAAAATGCTGCATCTTTTTCAATACTATATTCCAACCAATTCTTGTATTCTTTAAACCAAGCAAAATTAAATCGACACATAACTCCACTAATATCTCTTTGAGGGAAATTGTGGCTAAGAGGTTGACAGGGTCCTTTTTGTAAATATGTTCTTCTTATTTCGTCCCTATCATTAGGATGATATGACAAAAAATTTTATCGTAATCCTGGATCAGAAGGAAGGTTGTTCAAGTCAACACGAATTCGCTTCGAAGAATCTTGAATGTGACTATCACCACAAGTTTCTTGGGATTGAGATGAATCTTGTACAATAGTTGATTTTCTTTTCAGAAATTTGTCCATAATTTGAGAACTAAACAAAAGAGTAGGATGCACCTAAAAATATCCACACAAAAAACAGAGCTATCTAACTACAAGAGTATAAATAAATTGATTATAAAATTTCAGCTCCTATTTAATTTTTAAAACAAATAAAGTGAAGAAACTTAAAAAAATATTATACCTGATGACAACATGCATAACCATAAAATTAATTATATATGGATGGAAGGTTTTGTTTATAGTATCAAGTTTAAATAAATTTTAATATTATAGAGATAAAAAAATAATACCTGATGAGATATAATCCCCAAATTTCTTTTTGCCTTTTTCTTAACAATCAGCCAGCAACAGCAAAGCATGACAGCAACCACTTCATCTTCATTCAATACCAACATCCATGATCCATATTCCATGGGCAACAATGAAAGATAGAGGGGAACCACCCACAGAAAGAGAGAAGGGGGGGACCGCGAAAAGAGAGGGAGAGATTGAGAGAGACAAAACGACAGCAGCGTTGAGCCTCCCCCAAGCAGCAGATTCGTGCCCTAACTACACTTCTTGCCCTAACTAACTACACTTTTTGACTTTATTCTTCCAAGCAGCAGATTCGTGCCTATATATAATATATATAGATATATCTCATTGCAATTCTTTTGGGTTTTATTATTTGTTTCGGCAAATGGGCTAAGGGGCTAAGTGGGCTAGAGGGTTATTTGTTTTGGCAAATGGGCTAAGTAGCTAACTTGGCTAGAGGTTTCATTATTTGTTTAGACAAATGGGCCAAGTGGGTCAGAGGGGTATTCAACCATCTTGGATTGGGTATTCAAATTTTGGATTGGGAATTCAAAACTAAACTAAACCCAAAAAAAAAAAAAAAAAAAAAATTAAAATTTCAAATTTGAGGGTATTCAGCTAAATACCCTGTGGATACCGTGGAGCCGCCCCTGCATTACTGGAATCGCAGTCGAAACCAAATTTGTAGGTAAATGTCATACAACTCAATGTTCATTCAGAAACCAAAAACGCACAAACACATCTTAACCCACATACTTGACACCATGGAACCACGACCGCAACACTAACGCAGACTAGGGGATGAAGCGATCTCGCTGATAACACCACATCACTATAAACCACGGTTCACAATGTTCCAATGTTCGCTCCACACGATTATGGCAATGTTTATACGAAATGGGGGTTTTGAATTTCTAGGGTTTGAGTGGAGGGCACGAATGTTAATTTTAGGAATGTTCTCGTGTGATTAACGTTGCTAGCAATGGATTTCAAAGTAATGAAATTATCATCATCCCCCCAACATCGGATGGCAATCCAAAACTTTCCAAATTCCTTAGATACGTTTTGATTGAGCAAGAGAGAAGCTCCAAAAGACCACTATATTACGCTTTATGGACAAATTAGTAAATTTAACATCAACAAAACTCCACAATTATCCCTACAACTTGCAAAACACGCACTAACACTATCGGCTCCAACGTCTTTACCATTTTTAACTACAAGAGTATAAATAAATTGATTATAAAATTTCAGCTCCTATTTAATTTTTAAAACAAATAAAGTGAAGAAACTTAAAAAAATATTATACCTGATGACAACAAAGTATAATCCCTAAATATTATATTAACATGCATAACTATAAAATTAATTATATATGGATGGAAGGTTTTGTTTATAGTATCAAGTTTAAATAAATTTTAATATTTTAGAGATAAAAAAATAATACCTGATAAGATATAATCCCCAAATTTCTTTTTGCCTTTTTCTTAACAGTCAGTCAGCAACAGCAAAGCATGACAGCAACCACTTCATCTTCATTCAATACCAACATCCATGATCCATATTCCATGGGCAACAATGAAAGACAGAGGGGGACCACCCACAGAAAGAGAGAAGGGGGGAACCGCGAAAAGAGAGGGAGAGATTGAGAGAGACAAAACGACAGCAGCGTTGAGCCTCCCCCAAGCAGCAGATTCGTGCCCTAACTAACTACACTTTTTGACTTTATTCTTCCAAGCAGCAGATTCGTGCCTATATATAATATATATAGATATATCTCATTGCAATTCTTTTGGGTTTTATTATTTGTTTCGGCAAATGGGCTAAGTGGCTAAGGGGCTAAGTGGGCTAGAGGGTTATTTGTTTTGGCAAATGGGCTAAGTAGCTAAGTGGGCTAGAGGTTTCATTATTTGTTTAGACAAATGGGCCAAGTGGGTCAGAGGGGTATTCAACCATCTTGGATTGGGTATTCAAAACTAAACTAAACCCAAAAAAAAAAAAAATATTAAAATTTCAAATTTGAGGGTATTCAGCTGAATACCCTGTGGATGCCGTGGAGCCGCCCCTGGTCAGAATACAATAATTGTTTAACAAAGTCTTGTTGGGCTAATGGCTGTGGAGGTTTGTTCTGTCTGAAAAACTCTCATTAAAAGTGCCTTGTGAACTACATTCTTCATGTCTCTTTTTACGATCCCTAGGCTATATCAGTGACAAGGAGGAGTGAGATGCTACAAAGGTACTTCCAGTAAGGAGCCACAGGAAAGGAATTCAAGTCTCATCTTGTCCATTGGGAAGAGGTGTGTTTGCCAGTAAAGGTGGTGATTTGGCATTATAAAGTTGGACTTGTTCAACAAAGTTTTATTGGTAAAGTTGTAGTGGATATTTGTTTTCAGAAGGGAGAGATTGTGATGAAGGGTAGGGATTAAATTGGTGCACCAGTGTGGTTAGACGAGTTCATGGGTTTGAAGTTCGGAAAGAAATCACGAGTTTAGGAAGTATTTTTCAATTTCACAATTTTCAAGGTGGGGAATGTTCATGAAGTTTGGTTTTGGCATGATACTCAGTTGGGCATCAACTTTTGAGGGAGGTTTTCCAGGCCTATTTAGAATTTTGGTAGATGGGTTTTGAAGGGGTGGTGTTGACCCAACAATGGAGGAGGATGCTGAAGGATTCAAAGGTGGAGTCTGTGGAGGCCATCTTTGGGATAATATATAGGCTTTAGTCTAGAGGCAGCCCAAGATACTTCAGCTGGGAAGCTTCCAAGAATGCTTTATTATTTTATAAGAGGCTATGTCAAGAGGAGGATTCCTCCTTCCCTTGCAAAGATATTTGGAAAACCAAGACCCATCTAAAGTAGCCTTTTTTGGGTGGACAGCGGCTCGAGAGGCAATACTACCCAAAGACAATTTGAGGAAGACGGGCAAACTAAGTCATGATGGAATGATGCTATATGAGTAAGAGGGCAGTCAATAATTGGATTGGAATCACCTTATTTTACAGTGTCCGGTGGATCGAGATTATGGAGTTGACTTTTGAGATTTTTGGCATTGAGTGGGTGATGCCTTGTACAGTTAGAGATTTGTTTGCTTGTTGAAGTAGGTATGTGTAAAGAAAGAGTGAGGAAAGCTTGAGAGGTGGTGCCTTTGTGCAAGATGTGGTGCCTATGGAGAAAGAGAAAAAGGAGATATTTTTAAATTGATGAATCTACACATACCTGGCCTGAGGAATGTTTTATTGCTTCCTTGTTTTTTTGGCTCAAGGAGTCCTTTTCAGGAGGCAAATTTACTCTTTTGAGTTTTGAGGGGGATTTGTATATTTGTTAGGTATATAGAGATTTTAGGGATACACTTGCTCATTTAGTTTTAAATGTTTGCACCCATCACTGTAGACCACTTTTTTGTTGTCCTTGTTTTTGTTGAAGTATTTATGGTGACCATTGGTTTAATGGTAAAACCTTGGCCTAAGAACCTTGAGGTTATGGGTTCAAATCTTGGAGCAACCAATTTATGCACTATGCCAAAGGTTAGGTATGTACCCAATCTTTCCCCTCTCAAACACACATTAATGTGTAGTAATTAGGAATTGTTTTTATGTGAGTAAGGTCCGTGGGATAATACAACAGTGCTGCACAAGTTAAATTTTAAATATTTTAAAATTAAAAAAAAATTCAAGACACATCAACAACTGACATTATCATAACTATGCAACTAATGAATCTACAACTAGTGAACCATCTTTCATTTCAATTTGCTTTAGTAGAATAAGAACATATTTGACGTGATGCAACATTTGTAAGCAATAAAACTACATATGTTAATTGAAATTGAAATTCATTTACTACTTATAAATGGTTACTAAAACAATCTACCATTTTAAAAGCATCATATACAAATAACACAAGGAAATTTAATTAAAATGAATTGTATATGACAATGGTATCGAGTTCTACAAAGAAACATATGAATAAGCGAAAATGAGGACATACCACTCCCAATCCAAGCAATGTGTAGGTTGTCAAACCAAATCCAATTAGTGCATTTTTCCCGAAGGCACCCTGTAAAACAAGAAATTCAAATTCTACAGAAGTTATAGAACAAGATCATAAGGAATTCCATGATATCAAAGGAAAGGGACTCTTCTATTCTCTCCATTTCATAGCAATCGAAGAATCTAGGACTTGTTGGATTACAAAGGGAAAAATCAGTGAGGTTCATAGAGAGGTATTTACCCCATATGGAATTAAAATATTTTAACATTTAATTTTGTTATGGGGGTTAGAGATGAACCTTCCAGGTTCTTGAAGTAAATCAAAATGAGCAAATATAAATAAAGTAGTTCCCTAATTCAAAGTATTGACTAACAATTTAGGTTTTGTCGTTTGGCCTATTTACCTTCTTATCTAAAAAAAAGCCTTTGATAGTGCTCCAATCCCTTGTAATATGAAATCTCTATGGAGAGATGTCACAAGAGAACGCCTTTTGGAAATTAAACAATCTGCTTCCCAAGGTAAGACCAACTAAAGCATATGTTGAGATTTATACCACATCCCACCAAAGCAAACAGAAGCACACCCACACACACACACCAAAGGGGAAAAACAATCACACAGATTTATGTGGTTTGGCCCAAAGTGCCTACATCCAACGGAATATATGTGACATGGCCAAAATACTCAAAATGCACACCACTATCCGAACCCCATGCTCAAGGGTAGTTGAGCCCTTGCTCATTCCGGCGCTCTCACGATATTTTTTCTCTCACCCTTTACATCTCTATTTTTCCTCCTCTCAATCTCTCTCAAGAAAATCCTATAGTCCACATGACTATTTATAATAGTCTACGCATGAAAATCCTAGGTCCATACAATTCCACACATATTAGGTTCTCTAATAGATTTCAGACTTTACAATCCTAACCTAAATACCTGTATAAACCAACCTAATAACGTATGGGACCCACCTTTATCACATAGGTGGACTAATTCTAACAATCACTCCTTCCACCCATGTGGGGCAAATGTTATGTGCACCCTCCAACCTAGGTGTCCTGATTTGCGTGATACACTCCACCTTGACCTAGAAAATGTTGCACCTCCTTGAACCAAGTGCCCACATTATTTGCACCTCACGCCATGGTGCTTCAAACGTGTCCTTCATGGCTTCCTTTGTCCTCATGCTTGAGCCCATGGGATCCATCACTCCTCCCTAGGTGTCTTCACTACCACGAACCAAAACCTTCATAAAAAGAGACCCAATTTTCGACCCAATTTCCTTGGTGTACACCCTTTCGCTGCGAAATTGTCTCAAGTTCTATGCCTAAAGCTTCCTTCTGTGAACATCCAGCAACCTATTGTCTTCCTCTTGGTGGCCACCAAATATCCTTGCAACTGTTGCTCACCACTATTCATCCACGACTCATACTACTCGTATGATGCTTGATGGTAGCTCCCCTCTTGTCACAACAAATTCCACGAGCCTGTACAAGTTGCTAATCACGATGTCCAATTAGAAAAATGCAATCTAATTGACCCCACAATGACTGGACTTACTTGTTGATTGAATCAAATTACTCCTAGATCATCCTTGATCACCTGCAGTCAAACCTGATCACCGCCGAATCTATCCAATTCCTTTAAACCTTTTAGAATCTGAAAAACCTAAACATACTGATGAAACCACAGCACCTGAAAACCTTGGAAACCACTCTCACCTCGAATTTTTCTATTATATACACACCGATATAATAGAAATATTTTAAACCATTGATTTTATGTTTTATGTCACACAGGATCATAATCCTTTGACAAGCCAAAGTCACAAAACCTAATCCTCAATGGTGCACCCCATTGTGCACTGTGTTCCAAGTAATCAATGCCTCCATCATGCTACCTTCATCAGATTTTGATTTTTTTTTTTTTTTTTTCTGTACCACCAGAACTTCTTTCTCTTCTGTGTGAGTCCTCCGTGTGCAATAATCGCACCTCCTGCCAACCGCACCTAGATCAGTAACCTTTAGCGCTAATACCACTTATTGGGATTTATATCACATCCCATTAATGCAAACGGTAGCACACTCACACACACACACACACCAAAGAGAAAAAATAGTCATAGATTTACGTGATTTGATCCAAATTGCCTACATCCATAGGAGAGAGAGTTTCCAAACCAAACCAAACCTTAAGTCTCATCAAACGGAGTCAGCTACATGAATCATTCTTCTCCACTCGACTCTATCAAATGTCATTTCGTTAGTCAAATTAAGGAGATTCATATCTCTATTTATTACACTAACCCACATCAATCTAGGTCTACCTCTTCCTCTAACACTTCCATCTACCGTCACTGTATGGCATCTCTTCACTACTACCTCTATTGGTCTTTATCGTATATAACCAAACCATCTTAATCTATTTTCTCTCCACTTATCTTCTATCGGTACCACTCCTATCCATTTTCGAATATACTCATTCATAACTTTGTTCTTTTTAATACTCAAAACCCACACCACCGAACCCCATGATGCTCAAAGGTAGTTGAGCCCTTGATCACGCCGGTGCTCTCATGGTATTTTTTCTCTCACCCCTTCCATCTCTATTTTTCCGCCTCTCAATCTCTCAAATCTCTCTCAAGAAAAACCTATTGTCCACATGATTATTTATAATAGTCTACTCATGAGAATCCTAATTCTATACAATTAGGTAACCAAATCCTACACATATTAGGTTCCCCAGTAGATTCCAGACTCTACTATCCTAACCCAAATACATGTATAAACCAACCTAATAATTGTATGGGACCCACCTTTATCACATGGGTGGACTAATACTAACTGCGTATGCTTAATTGCTTATAATATAATCTTCCCACTTGTGTTCCATTCTAGTTCTCAAGCTAAGGCCTATGACATTGAAACGTAAAACTACAAATGATAGTTAACGCATGAACTCAATAAACATGTGTGGCATATAACTGCTCTATCCCTAAAATCCTGAAGCCAACATCATGACTGAGACTTGTGGTTCTCCCTCTGTCTTGTGTACTATGACCAAAGTCCAACCCTTAAAAACCTCCACAAAACAAATGGATCTTTTTGTTAATTTTAAGACAAGTTTTAGCAATTAGCATGGCAAGAGCTTAGCTTGTAATTATTGTCCAAGCTCCTTCATGCTTCCTGATTTATCACAAACCTCAATGCTTCATCAAACAATAAAAGCAAAAGGATACCTGTATAGCTCTTCCGCCGTCAAGACATCCCACAGGAAGCATATTAAAAGCTGACGTAGTTAACCCACACCTACAACAAGGAACTGAATGGTTAGTAATCTATACATCATGATAAAGAAACAATATTCAAGAATGGTGCCTCACCAGCCTGCAATTACAAGAGGATGGACCCAAACTGTGGCTGTATGCATTGCTCTACAGGGACACATTAGCAAAAGCTCAATCAGTATTGTCAAGATAACAATAATTTCAGTTTTAAACAAAAAAATTATATATCAAACTGACACTTAACTAAGTTAAAGAAGATAATTGACATAACATTCAGTGCTTTAGCTTTACCATAGTTGTACATTATTTATTTATCTTCCAAAATTGCAACAATTAAAGAACCATTACGTTGATGAATCATACAATGAGATTATGGGAGAGAGTAAGTGATCAATGCTTAAGGTGTTAGAGAATCAGTTTGAATTTATGCATGGCAGATCAACTAAGGCAACAATACATTTATTAAGACAGTTAATAGAGAAGTATTGAAAAAAAAAAATAAGGGATATACATATAGTTTTTGAAAAAGCTCAAATTAGGGTGCTTAGAAATATAATATAGAGGGTGTAGGAAAAAAATAGCGCGGAATATATTGATGTGATAAAAGACATGATGAGGTTGTGACTACAACTAGATCACCAAACTAGTGAATTTTTAATCGATGTTAAGGGTCAACTTTGAGTCATTACCTAGTTACCTTAGTCAAGGATAAATTAACTAAACACATTAAAGATAATATCCCATGATAAATGTTTCTCGCTAATGATATTGTTATAGTGGATGACAATAAAGAAGAAAATAACACCAAATTAGAAATCTGAAGAGAAAAAGTAGAGTCAAAATGATTTTAAAGTAATAATAAAACTAAATATGCAGAATGCAACTTTGGTAACAACTAATGGAGAAATAATGAAGTGAATATTAAAAATCAAAATATAACAAAAGGTGAACATTTTTATTACCTAGGTTCGGTTATTAGTAAGAATGGTGAGATTGAAGATGATGTGATCCATATAATTAATGTTTACTGGCCCAAGGGGAGGAGTGTATCTAGCTTATTATGTCATCTATGAATATTAACAAAATTGAAAGGAAAAGTTTATAGAGAGCAATAAGGCCAACAATGATTTACGGAACAGAATGTTGGGCAACTACGAAACAACACATTCATGAAACGTGCATAACTGAGATGAAGATGCTTAGATGGATTTGTGGTAAAACTAAGAAAGATTGAATTTGAAATGAATATATTCGTTAAGTGGTTGGAGTAACACCAATTGAAGTGAAATTGAGAGAAAACAAGTGAAGATGATTTGATTATGTAGAATGAAGATCTACACATGCAACAGTAAGGAGAAGTGATATGGTCTCTATAAATGGAAATGTTAAGAGGAAGGAAAAACCTAAACTGACATGGGATGTTGTAATAAAAAAGAATAGTAATTTTTTTGGTTGAGCATATAACCCTTAATAGAACAAAATGGCGAAAAATTATTAATGTAGCTGATCATACTTGATTGGGACACAACGTTTAGTTTGGTTTGGTATATTTTATTTTTTTATTAAGACCCTAGCACATCAAGGGTTCCATCTAGGATATTTGGTACAAGGTATCATCCAAAGGGGTATTATAACAATTAGGTCTAGGACTTATTGATATTTTGCATATGTATCATTTATCAGCCAATCAAAGCTATGAAAGCAAAGAAGAAACTTACGCATAACCTAAAGTGGCTCTGCTTATTAATCCAAGAAGCAAAGAACCTTGAAATAGCATGCTAGGAACCTGCACCAAATCCCCTGCAGCATTTGGGTTTGATGAAAGCAGCAAGCCAACAGCAAACATAGAAAAAGACAACGTAGCACCAGTAAATGGACCCGCAAGGGAAATATCAACTTTTGTCTTTCGGTCAGGGAGAATAGATTTGAACTGTAGAAGCCATGATTTGATGATTGTTTAGCAGTAAAAAAGAGGTATATCATAAATTTATGAAAAAATAGAACAGCCATAGATCATAATTCCAATCAAGAAAAGGAAGGAAAAAAAAAAAGAAACTCAAAGATATAGGTAGAAAAATTGCATCCATGGATCAAATCAAAAGAGCGAAAAACAGAAAACTGTCATAACAAAAAAATGCTTTTACCAAATAGAGTAGATCTCATTTATCGATGATCAAGGGACCATTATCTTATTGATGAAAGAAAATGCTGTTAAATGGAAGACTTGAGATAAATTCAGACTCACTAAAATTTGATACAACAAATTATTTAAAAAAGGAAAATGCTAACCACTGGCCCATGGGCGGGCGGTGTTTAATGTTGGTATATGTGAAAAAAAATACATCAAAATATATAAATCTATATAGTGTACGGAAATATATAACATAATAAGAACTTCATTTAAATTAGCATCCATCAAGTGATAAGCAGACATAATTACCTGAGTAATTGCACCAAAGCTTCCAAGAGTAATATTAGGAATGAAGAATGGAATGCTTAGTTTTACTTTCTTTGGGAAAGCAGCCAAAAAATGCCCAACTTCCTGCGTCAAATGAATTTTCTCATTTACATATTCAAAAGCTAACACACTACATGAATGACTAATTAGGGTAGAATTAACCTCGGGGAGGAGAAAAAATAAGGTCCAGTCTGGTTAGGTAGCATTTACCATTTACCATTTTTTGTTTACAGAAAATAGGAAACATGTTCATCTTATTTTATTTTATTTCTTTGCTAAAAACAAATACAAAAAACATGTTTGGTACACACATGTTTTAAAATACCCAAAAACATAAACAAGAAAACATGTTTGGAGATTGGCCAAAGGTTGTGGCCACCAGAGAGGGTGGGAGAGGGAAGCGGGGATGAAAACTTATTTTCAAAACAAGTGAAAAGACAAATTTTGTGTTTCCTAAAATTTTGTAAAATTTGAAAATTGTTTCCATTTTTTGGAAATGAAAAAAGTTGTCAAAACAAAAACAAAAAACAGTAACATAAGTGAACATATCCTTAAAACATGTTTGGTACTCCTTTCTTTTTTTTCTTTTGAGAATTGTTTTCAAAACAAGGCTCCAAAATAAACACACACACAATTGGGGGGGGAGAGAAAAGAAAAGAAGAAGAAGTGTTTTTTAACTTGTTTTGGTGTATTAACAATAAAAGGAAGCCCATTAAACTTCAAACTCTCTTGGGAAAAAACAAAAACATGTTCCTTTTCCTTTTCCTTTTCTCTTTTTTTTTCAAAAAACAAGAAACACGCAATGGACCAATCAACAACTAAGTTACAATGCAGATCAAAACAAAGTTATGCAACCAATGAATACAAGTGCAAGCTATGACATTCTCTTTTGTAGCATCCATTATCAGTAATTCAGTACATATGCAGCTTCCAACAATCTCATGCACAGAATGCACAATGTATACAGTAGGCAGCTAGAGGAAACAATGACACAGGCATAAAATTTCGAGGATTGCCAACTCGAGATGAGTGATGCTTTCTGTGAAACAACCAATAGTAAATAACAAAAGCTGTGACTTTATATTAGGGTATTTTCATAGTGAATAGATCCCTCATGAGTACTTCAGTCCATATATCTTTACACAAAATAAAAACACTTGCATCAAGAAAATATACGAAGTTTATTCCACCGTATTCAACTCCGTCACAGAACCAAAAAAGTTCTAAGTAGGTCAGCCAAGACAAAGTGCCACATGATAGCGTTGGAGAAATACTACCCGACTAATTGGTTGATGACATTGGAGATTTATTGGTGGGGAGAGAGAGATCAAGATACATGTAGCTCACAAAAAGGGAGTTGGTAGCCCAAAGAATAAGCAGCCTTGCTGCGTCTCTTTTTCTTTTTTCTTTTTTTTTTAGTAGTTGTTGTGCCGTGTATGAAGCATGTTGGCTATTGCTTATAAAAGGCGAGATTGGGGCCAAAACAATGTGACTGCATTGTGTTTTTTCTTTTTAAACTCCTCTTTTGGTGCTTGTTCTATTGTGCTTTCACATATTCCAATCAAAATAAACGAGAGGGCATCAAAAATAATCATGATGAAATATAGTTTTTGTCTTACACATTGATACGTATTGCTGGCTTTTAAGTGAAAGATCTCAATGAGATCGGTTTTACTAAAATAATTGTTTTAAGATGATTAAAAACATATGATATGAACACAACATAGTAGAATTTCTTAGAAGGTAAGGCTATCAGGATATGTAATAAAGAACAACCAATTATTTCAACTGGAGAGGGACGAAATACTGAGAATGTGTGCGTTAGGACCAGTTTATGATTCTAAGATGAGAAGCAGGTGGCCAAAAAGGGCACATATAGCATTGGACAAAGACCTATTATCTAATGGTTCAAGTCAGAAACTTGGACTTTTACCAGATGAAGTGGTTTAAAACAATTAACAATGTCATAGAGAGGAGAATGGGAAAGATGGAGGAATGGATGTATATAACTATCTCGTGGAGCAACTTCTTTTTTTATTGAAGAAATTTACTTACTAGTCTACAGTTGATAAAGATTAAATGTAGGCTAGTTTAGCCTATAAGCTTAAGGCCTTGTAATCTTATGATAAGAAATTACGGAAAAAGAAGGTTAAAGGAACTATTTTCTGCATAAAGCCCAGCACAGGAAATAGTAATAGTAATACACAAGAAACATTTTTTTTCCCCATAAGAAAAAGCATAACTAAATTAACAAAAAGATAGAAATTCTTCTTACGTGAAATAGCTGAACCCCCAGAACACCATATGCCAGGGGCAGAGCAGACTCCACAAATGGGAATAAAAGCTGCATATCTGGTGGTTCAATGGCATTTGGATCTGTGAAGTACTTAACTACCTCTGGTGGAAGCCTATTTATCTGCTTCATGAAAAATGCAATGAATGAACACATATACATGGAATAATCTACTCTATAAAAAGGATTTGATAAATAAAAAGGAGAGCATAACTACTTTTCATACAATAATGGCCAAGTGTAAAAGCAATTAGCAATACCTGAGATGCAATTCCTAGCTCCACCGAGGAACCAATAGTGAGAACGAATAACAATAGAGCAATCACATATTGCCATAGTGTTGTTGGCCCTGGTTCTGAAACCTCTTTACGCAGCATACCAAAACTGACACGGGGTCCACCACGCGGGTCTGGTCCTTCAGAATTGGGTTCCTCCACCATAAATAAATTGTACTTATTGCCCATGAGTTCAGCCAGCTGATTCTGAAGTTTGGAAAAAACCTCCTCTCTCTTTCCCCTCAGATTGCCAAGAAAAAGAATGCCCTCTCCTAGATCTCCAAATGGCTCTTCTTTGGTCACCCAGAAGGTGGAATAGCCAAAAAGCTTTTTCTTAATAAGCTTTACATCGGCAGCATCAACCTTCTCTGGTCCAAGGAGTTCCATCAGCTTAAAAGAGTCGACTTGGAAATTGTTATAAGATGGTCCAACAGGTGAAATTGTTGGTGGCTGAAGAAGGGAATCAAATATATTAGAATCAACATTGTCATTGTTGTGTCAGGCAAAATTATAAACATGTATCTACCTATTTTCTTGTCCCTTCCAATTCTATCTCTCTCTCTCTCTCTCTAATCATATCTTATCACTAACACTATAGTCTACTAAGTTACATCTGTATACATGGCACCAGTTGGTAATATTATATATTCATCCCATTTCCAACCCTCCTTTTGTTTCTCTGAGATGACCCTGATTGTAATCACATCCATGTGTTTTAGCATGTGACACATGCTAGCCCCATTGGCCACGGAATCATCTGATGACTGATTGTCTATGTACTTTTAAGCTACAAGCATGAAGACATGTGTGAAGGTCGATTATCCAATTTTCCGTTGTCATATCACCTACTTAATCATATATCACTTGGCAGATTATTCTAATGCGCACAATCATATTCAAATATGCCCACTCATACACAAACAAACAAAAAAACTTTATACCTCTTCAATACCACACTCAACAACTTGTACCATTCTCAGTTTTTTCTATTTTGCTCGGATATTTTAAAGTTGCTTTGGGTTCTAATTTCCATTATCAAACCTAGAGTAGCACTGACATGCAACACACCAACACGACAATTTTCAAAAAATATAGAACATAGTACGAGTGGGACATGTTAAAAATTTATATTTTTATAAATTTATAAAAGTCAAATATATGAATAATTTTGTTTTTTTTCTTTAAGCAACATTTGCTAATTAAAATTAAAAAGTCATATCTTATTACTTAAACATCAAGATATCATTCACATAACACAATTGTATTTTTAAAAATGTAAAATAATTGTAGAACGTTGAAATAAACATGATGTACTCGTCATATAAATGTTCCAAAACATATTTAGAGTGCATAAGTTGCATGTCAAATGATGCAAAACATTCGTCTCTGTGATGAGATTTATTACATAGCATGTGCTCAAATGGTTCAAGAAATGTCACGAAAGTGTCCGAAAAGTTATGTTAAGTGTTCGATATTATAAATTTAAAGTTTTAAATCAAACATGTTGAAGAAAGTATCAGTCCCGCTTTTAGATGTTTCCATGAAGTGTCGTGTACAACAGGACACATCTTCTCCTTAGAAGAGTTCGTGCTTCTTCAAATCAAAAGTTGATTTTAATAAAGTAACGAAATTTGTCTTGGATACACACAAACACACATTAATGTGTACTATTTGGCGTTGTTTTAATGAAATTTGTCTTGGATACGCCCACAAATATATATATATATATATATATATTAAACTATCTGTCAAATAAAGATATTTTCAATACTTTTTTAATAACCATTTTCTAAAATGGTGCTTCAATGTTGGATTCTCCATCAAAATTGTCAATTTTTTCCACCTTGTTTGGTTCCAATTTTTTTAATTCAATTTTCTGAAAATTAAATTTTTTACTTTCCACATTTTTTTTGTTTTTACTGAATTTTTTTAATACTTTAAATATTTTTTTTAGTTTTTAGATACACTTAATAAATACAATTGAAAAATATAATATATATGAAATTTAAAAAAAAAAATTCACTAAATATCAAAAATATAAAAATATATAAATAAAAATTCAAAACATTTTTATATTCTTGTTTATTGATTTTTTATTACTTTTTAATTACATTTAGATGCATTAAAAAGTAAAAAAAAAAAATTTACTTAAAATATTTAAAAAATCACTAAAAAAAAACACAAGATAAAAATAAAAAATAAAAAATAAAAATAAAAAAAACTCAAAAATTGAATTTCGAAAATTGAACCAATTCGTTCCCTGAATTCCTAAATTACGTATAGCTTTCAATTCAAACACACTAATTGACTCCAAAAAAAAAACACAAACTATGAGAGATAGAGAGAAAAAATCTCACCCTTGATGAAATAGAAGCCTTGGACTTGTCCGAATCAAAATCGTCGCTGCACTGTGCTTTCTCTTCCGCCTCGTCTCTCGATGTCGTTGTCGCCAAATTCGAATCGTTTGATGCATTGTTGCTACTATCTCCGTCATTATCACCATTGTTGTTCGCACCAAAACACCAAGACCTAGCAAAATTCCTATTCAAAACTCGATGCCTCTTCGATACCTCCTTGCACAAAAAACAATTGCTCTTTCGCACAAACAGTTCAATTCTTTTCCTTGAAGTACTGCTAATGGGACTCCATTGGAGGCTTAGGTTAACGGCACTGAAACTACAGCTTGTGAGAGTACCCATTGATAAATGGAGTTTCAATGCGATATATGTATATGCATATATATATTGGGGATATTTTCTCTAACAAAATTCAATAAAGACAAATCCATAGTATAATTCAATAAAGACAAATCCATAGTATAAATCCATAGTATATGTAATAAATAAATAAATAAAATCCATAGTATATGTAATAAATAAATAAATATTGGGGTGCTTTGTCAACAAAATAAAAACGTTTAGTTTGGAAAGCAAAAGTTGAGACTTTTTTTTTTTTTTTAATAAAAAATAAAATAAATTTTTTAACTTAATAAAATAAAATATCGCATTTAATTTATAATCATTATATTTTTTCTCTCACAAATAAAGACAAATCCATAGTATAAATCCATAGTATATGTAATAAATAAATAAATATTGAGATTTTTTTTTTTTCATAAAAAATAAAATAAATTTATTAACTTAATAAAATAAAATATCACATTTAATTTATAATCATTACATTTTTTCTCTCACAAAAAAATTTTAAAAACCAAAAAAACCTAAAGTTCTTCCCAAACTAGACTTTTTAGCCTCAGACTATAAAAGTCAAAAAATCAACCCACTTCCCAAACGAATTTAAAGACAGTTTTTAGCTTTTCACTCATTTTGAATCGCATCACTTTTCTTATTTTTTATTCACAAAAAGACAAAATATATTAAAAAACTAAAAAATTAACTTTTTACCAATTTTCCAAAACACCACATTATAGTATATGTATATGCACAAATCAAGAAATAAAATAAAATAAAAAATTGAGTAAAATATCAATAAATCTCAAAATATAATGAATTGTTTAGTCTTCTTTTTTCTTATAAAGTCAAAAATCTCATTAAAGTGAAAATTACATAAAAAGATAGTCACTTACACGTTTGGATTTAATTTTTGAGGAATAAAAGTAGGTTTCTCTAAATGTAAAATTACATATTTAGGCAATCCACTCTATAAAAGTTTTAGGTAGCGTTTGGTAGAGTTTTGTGCGTACCGGATTCCGCACTAGATGAAAGTAGATCGGGGAAGAAATGTATATCGAGTTGGGTTTGTATCTAAGTGTGATCATGCTCTGAATAGTTCAGTTACCTTCAATGTGAAGTTAATGCTGTATATATAGTGTTCCTTGCTTGCTTCTCAAGGTGGGTTCATGGAGCTTGGATGCTGTCAAGTGTCCTTCTAGCATTGCTCAAGATGGGGGACCACCTGGTAGTTATCTTTGAATGCATATACTCATTGTAGTCATGCTGATAACAAACCACATTCCTTTGATTCAACAACTTCCATGATTCTAGGCGTAGGGGACCAGCTGAGGTGGCAACTTGCACATGCACACATTCACAACTTCCACGTTTTCTTGCAAGGTTTCCTCAACTCGGTACCGATGTGTCTCAGCTCGGCATCATTATGCCTTGTCTCGGCCTCTTACAAGATCATTCATGGAGATAGGCTGATCCATACGGATATCTTTGTATGGGCTTGGCCTATTTTCTGTTCGGCCCATAGGTTCAGTCTCGCAGCTCGGCCCAGCCCAGCGCCATGGCTGGACTAGCCTTTCCACTGCGAGTTGGGCCTAAGTGCTTGAGGACTTGGTTGGGCCTAAGCGCTTGAGGACTTGGGTGAACTATTGATCATGAAGTTGGGCTCAACTAGTTTGCCCATATACTCATCCAACCCACTTGGACTTGGACTTCAATGGATTGGGCCGGCCCAAGGCTTGGACTCGACCCATTTCGCATTTGCCCCCTTCATTTGCCCTTTAGTTCGCGCTACGGTTCCCCTTGGGGGGAGCTACTGTTCTGCTCCCCAAGCGTCGCGTCTTTTCGGTTTTCCCCAGTTCGGCCTTGGTGACGGTTCAATCCTGACACACAACCCCTGCATGCGTCATTTCTTGGTGACACGTGGCGATGTGAGATAGGCGTGCAGAGATAGTGCATCGATTCCATACAGAAGGTCGTGCTCCGTGTACCTGCGCGTTGGCTGGTGCAATTAATGCTCTGGCTATCAATACAAATTCCTTTATCTGCTTTTTCGTTCCTCTAGAGAGTTTCAAAGAAAGAGAAAGGACTCTCCCCATTCCTCTGAACCAGTCTTGTTGGTGCTTCTGCTCAAACTTTCTTCGTCACTGATCTTGCTTTGCTACCACTGTTCCAGTCTCTGTAAGTCATCTCGTAATTCTGTTTCTCTTACTTCTTCCTTTCTTGATCATCTTGTTTGGCTCACTCGCTGCCTGTGTTCCATACTTTGTTATATGAGTCCTACCTCTGTCCCATTAGGTCTGTTAAATGGGGAAGTTCCACTCGCTAGTTGATACCCCCGAGGCCATGGCTATGTTCCGCCTGGACTATAATATTCCTGACGACGTTACCCTCTCGTTGGCGAAAGTAGACGCCAAGCGTATGGGCACAAGGAATACCGTCGTTTTTCCCATCGCGGTCATAGTCGAGGGAGGGGTTCGGTTTCCTCTTGATCCGTTGGTGTGTCGGTTTCTCTATCAAGTCCAGTTAACCCCAATGCAAGTATCTGTGAACCTTTTTCGTGTTGTTTGCGGCGTATCCGCCCTCAATAGACGATTGGGTTTGAACCTTGACATATGAGATATCTTAGGTTGTTATACTCATTCTCATAACAAAGACCACAGCACGTATTACTTGCGTGTTCGCTCGTTTGATTGCCATTTGGTTACTGGGTTGCCCGATTCGGATAAACACAACGATGATTTCTTACAAGTTGGTGGAAACTGGGAGTTCCCTGCCGGAACTGAGTTTCAGTCTGAGAGGATGCCCTAGAAAGACGGCTACCTAGGTTCGGGCCTCTCCTTCTAATGCCTTTTGTATTTCTTACTTTATTTTGGATGTTGCACTAATAGATTACTTCTTTTTTTTGCAGAGGCCTCTCGTTTCCAACGAAGACCGAACTGAGAGAACGCTGAAGCCATAAAAGCGGCTCTGAGGTATAATATACAGTCCCGAATGAATAATACGTGGGGTTGGAAGACATACATCACACACACGCACACTTATTACAGTTGTGCCCTCGCGCAGAGGGTCTGAATAATATACAGTCCCGAATGAATAATACAATCCGAATAAATAATACAGTCCAAATATGTACAAAAATCCTAATTAATCACCAAATTAACTAAGAAAACAATAAACTGGCATGCAAGCCAGGGACTGCCTTGACTCTTCTTCAGATGATGAATGATGCACATCCGGGTTGCCTTTGCACGGAAATCCACTGCGATGCCCCGATTAGCCTCTGTTTTGCAATAATTTTTGAAAAGCGCGCCAAGCCCCGGAAAACTGCTGATTCTTGATTTGCTGCAACAGAGAGTAGGAAAGGAGCATAGCAATGTATTTTCACAAATGTATGCATGCCTCGATCCTCGTGTCACCAATCACGTATCCCGATGCATGATGGCCGAGGAGTCGAATTGCACAATTCAATATGGAATGAATGCACATGAAAACACAATAAAACCTAGACTCCATCATGGATAATCCGGAGTGTCGGCGACCGGGAATTGAGACACGTTCCGTCACTCGGAGTACGAAACGTACCTCGTTTCCCGTGCTTGGGCTAACTCCTATCCCAAACACAATGCAATATGCATGAGATGCATGAAATGCAACTAAGATACAACCTAACATACACAATACTATGAAATGGCATACACGATGCACGAGGTAACATGGCATACACAATGCGCTAACATACAACTTAGCATACACAATGCTATGAAATGAAATGGCATACGCAATGCATAAATGGACTTACACTAACACAAGTGGACCTCAGCTACACTCACATAAGAGGTCATTAGATGAAAATGAGACAACTCGAGATGCGTGCACGCATGCACGCAAACCGATGACCGACCCTAAGGCACCAAATGCCACTCTAACAAGACATGGCAAGGCATGAAATATGATATGCAAATATGCAAATTTCAGAAGGGAAATATGATGCAAAACAGCCCCGAATCATGGAAACATGGCACCCGATGCATGAAATGGTACCCGAAATGCAAAATTAGGCATACGCAATGACCTATAGTTATACAAAGCATGCATTATTTGATCATGAAGCATGAATACAGATTCAAGGCAGTCCCAAAAAAAGAATATTTATAGTTTTAAGTAAGGCCAAATAGTGAACACAAATGGGGCTAAGCTAGCATGCAAAAATGGCCCCGAAAGAGAGATAATGAAGCAAGTGGCAGATTCTGTCCCTAAACGGAGAAGGGATCTTCTAAAATGTTGAAGAGGGACCCAAAATATGGTATTCTACAGTTGGTGGCCAAGCCAAAAACAGTACACAAGCATGCTCAAAATACTATACAAAATAAGGCCTAAAAAGAGGTCTAAACACAAGGAGGAAAAAGGAAACATCAAACAGTAAAAGGCCCTTGATAAAACATGAAGAGGGGGTCAAAATAAGGTCATTTACAGTTCGGACCAAAGTCCAGAAACACCAACACAAGGGGCTAACAAATCATGCAAAAATGAGGCTAAAAGAGGGATATAAAGGCAAGTGGCAAATGGAAGCCACAAACAGTGATGAGCCCTTCAACAATGTTGAACAAGGGATAAAAATAAGCCACTTTACAGTTTGTCTCAGAGCCCATAAATGCTTGCAAGTATGGCTTATAAATGAAGCAAAAAAAAAAGCAAGTTTGAGGGGAAAAGAGACTTACCCTTGAAGACCAACTTTCCAGCAGCTTTTGGTCCAAATTTCTGAGCCTTCAACCTCTCCAAATGTCCTCCAAGGTGCTGGAATGAGTGATGGAGGTGTTGTGCTATGGGTTGTAGTGCAAATGGTGCAAGGTCAAGGGTGTTTTGGAGCTTGGATGGAGGAGATATGGAGGATTTGTATGCAATGCTCCAGCTGGTTTTTCTCTAACCCTTGCAAATGGAGAGGAGGGTTTGTTTTATAGAAGACCAAAGGCCAAGGCTTCTTGGAGAAGCCTCAAGAAAGGGTCAAAGCTTCTCTAAGAAGCTTGAGCAAAAGGGTCAAGCTTCTTGGAGAAGCTAGAGCAAAAGATTCAAGC